TTTCTCGTATTTAATAAAGTCAGTTAAGATTGTCAAAAAGTTAAGAAATAATAATGAATTAATTAATTAATAATCTTGACAACTCTCGTGTTTTGATTTATCTTAAAGTGCTAATTTATCGTCCCGAAATTTCCGTTTACTCAGGTGTTCTAACAGAAACCTGCATGTACATAATATGTATATAGCTAGGTTACCAAATCCGTATCGCTCTCAGCTCCGTTAAAGCAACAAATGAAGCTCTTTCGGAAATCAATATCGTCATACCATTAGTATAATGCGATTGTGCGGTATTAAATTAAATATCATTTTGCGTGCATGTTTAACAAGTCAACATGGAATAATTGCTAATTATTACAGAAAGCATAGTATCCAAATAATCAAGCGTTTCGTGATAACAAAAGAAAATAACAAAGTAGATTTGAATGAAAGGAACGAGAATCAAACAATCAAACCTTTAATTTAATCTGATTAATTCTCTGTAATACTATCAAAATATTAGAATTCGGAAAATTTCTATTTAATGATGGTAATCATATCCGAATATGATTTGCACGATAAAAGTAAGAGAAAAAAATTATCTATATTTAATCGACTTTCGATATTTTCTATTCTTACGAATCGACACTCAATATCGCATAATTTTAAATATCACAAAAAAAAAGGAAAGTATTATATTATAAAGTACGCGATGTTCGTTTAACGAAGCACCGAGTCCTGCTTCCTACCGATACATCCCGCTCTTGTCCAGACAGGCAGATTGAAATTGGACGCAGTGACGCGAATTATTATAATCCCAACCTATACAGCGTTGGCGACGATAGTAGAGCCCGGAGGCGTTTTTCATAGCTCTTGTATCGCGAAGTATGTAATATCGGGTTCCGTCGTTCCCATCTACGAAGCCAGATTTCTCTCCCGGGCTATCGTCCCGGTTACACGTACGAACGTACGTCGGGATATATATATCGGTGCTTGCCCGACGTCCAGACGAACCTTTAGGCGATGAGAAAAGGAGTCGAATCGCTCGCGGAAATGCTCGTACGAAAATCCTATCCATCCAAATGACACGAAAGGAACGATCGTCGAATGCACGACCGAAAAAAATCAGAAAATTTGACACGTGCGAAAAAAATCAGAAAATCTAACACGTGCAAAAAAATCTAAAGGGATCATTATTATAAAATAAATTATTATATTGAAGAAAAAGTTATACTAATAGTTATAGCAAATATTGAATGATATGAAATAGTATCAATTAAATGTTCGGTCAATGATAAGCAAAATTTTGCATTCCCAAATATTTAATAACAAATTAAATAAAATGTACAAATATAACGATTCTGAGAGTAAATTTAACAGTGAATAAATTGTCAGATACAGCGTTGTTGTTAATTGCAAATTGTAATAAATTTAAATTTGTGCATCAATATCCACGTTGGCTCAATTTGATATTTTTCGATTGATTTACTATTATATTTAATAAATATTATCAAATATAATCTAACTAACTGATTGATAATACTTACTAAATATGTATAAGAAAATAAAATTATTTTTGATTATATTAACTGAATATTTTTGATTGGCACTATTTCATTTAACATTTGATAGCTGTACCAAACTCTTTTTTTCAATGTACAAATGTTCTTCAATATCCTGAATTTCAATGCTTCAATTTTTCTATTTGAATGGAAAATATTTGTCTTTTGCGTCAATTTTTTAAGCAATATAACTGCATCAGCACGCATCTTTTTCCTCTCTCAGCATATATTCTCTCTCTCTCTCTCTCTCTCTCTCTCTCTCTCTCTCTCTCTCTCTCTCTCCCCTCCGCAATCTTAGATTGTCGAATCGTATATCGCGTATGGAAACATAAATCTGACAGTCGTAGGAATCTATGAACAAAAGTGGAGCCACTTACATGCGCGTAAAGCAGAATTTATGAGAGACGCGGGAATATAAATGCGCGACGTAATAAATTCCCGTCTTGGATGCCAGGATATGTATGAGTAAAAGGTGGAGGAGAAAGGGGAGATGGAGAGAAAAGAGAATGTTGTAAGGGTGGTTGCGTATAGGAGCGTGTAGGGACATGCAGGAAAATCTTTCTCTCCCGATATGTGGGTCCCGAAGGATACTAACGATACCGTTCAGAGCTTTCATAGACTCCAGGGACACTTTAAGTATACGAACTAAAAGCAACCCCATTACTTTTCCGTCGCTGTCACACAAACACTAAATAATAATAAATCCCTTTAATAATAATCCCTTTTTCACAATAATAGTAATTTTTTATTAATCTATTATATATCTAATAATAATCTTGATATATAATAATTTTAATAAGTACGAAATATTAAGTACGAAATCTCGCTAAACACAAAATACATTAATATTATAATATTTATAATATTATAATATTTGTTTTAACAATATAAATGTTATATAAGACGTATTGTATGTAATAATTATATTATTGAATAGGAAATTGCAACATTGAAGTAATGTTACTGTTTCTTTATGTTTGCTAGAACGTTTATATACATATATACATATAAGTATCTATAAAATACCAAATACATTTTTTTCCCTCTACGTTTATTCGTATATTTCTTTAAACCAAATTTTCAGATATTTTATAGAGATTAAATCAAATTTAAGATCGATTACAAATTTCCTCGCCGTGCCGTTACGTGGCACAATTTTATCCTAACGGCTTTCCGTGAACCGTACCGAAAGCGCGCGAAGGGTGAGAGGATGTTTGAACTTAATCGCAGCGGCGGGCCCACCCTCATCTTCGACCCCGTTCAATATCTTAACTACTTTGCCCGACGCGACCTGGCCCCGATTTAACCGCGTGCGACAACTTCTTCCCTCACTCTGGTTCCGTCTGTCTAATTTACTCCATCCTATCATCCCCGACGCTATTTGGACCAGCAACTTCGCAGTTCGCGATGAGATGCATGGAAATCAAGTCGCTTTAATAACACCGATAGCTGATAGCGGTCGCAGCATCCCCAATCGAAAAAACCGCCAATTCATCGAAGTATTAAAAAAGAAGATCTTCTTATCTATCCCTCGTCATATCGACTCTCTCATCCCTCTTGCTGCGGAGTAAACGACTGCCACGATGGAATCTTCAAAAGTTGGTCATCTGTCGACATTTGTGACATAAAATGTCACTTTTCTCTATTAGATTTTTTTTATGGATATCATATTTTTTAATTTCATTTACACCGTTGGAAAATTTGTATTAAATTTAGTATATTTCACATGTGATCCCAAAATGATCCACTCAAAATTATGTGTTAATTTAACGCAAATATGTTAGAAGATTACATTATGTAAAATATTCTGTAAAAGAACAAACATAAAAAAGGTGATACAGTTTGTAAACAAATCTCGGAAGCATATTTTTTTAGTAAAATTATTATTTATGATATGTTAATTCATTTATGTTATTCATTCCTCTTAGAATTTAAGTTTTAAAACATATTTTTTTATGTTATTTGTTCACTTACTCATTATGTTATTTTGACACTAAAAAATGTTGATATATCAATTTAACATACTATAAACTACTAAATAACATAATTACATTATGTTAAATTAACATTCATTTGAACATATACAAGTTCAACACAAAATTTTACCAAGAACTTGAGTAGACAGTTTCCAACACAAATATAAAATGTTTTTTACTGTGTATGACAATCTTAGGAGAATCGAATCTCAATTTCATTCACCATTGTAACTATTTGTAATTTACTTTTATGTTTGTATTATAAAGTCATCTTTTTATTTAAAAAAAAATGAGGTACAAAGCAAATATAAATCAGAATAAAAATGTATATGTTATTGAAGTTTTCCGAACCTATTGGCGTCGATTATAATGTCAGTTAAATTAATACTATCGACATAACCGAGAGCTGCTTTAAAGGGAGAGTATGTAATAACGAGTTGTAGAACCACAATAATCACGATGCGAATCAGAATTCTCATTTCGCAGTCGCTTTGCCGCGCATTCGATTTAATTGTTCGATATATGCGAGAAACGATTAAAACACCGTAAAACCGCCAAGCTGAAATACCAAATTCATGGAAACACGCACACAGGCATGCGCATCTGCTCGATTTTCCATAAGGTCGCTGGATCGGCCAAGAACGGAATTGCATCACGTAACCGCTCCCTTGATATTGCACCGCACACCCACGGATTCGATTAATTTTTTACGATCGTCCAATCAGTGGGACGGATGAAACCGCTTGAATTAACCGTTCTATTAGAAGCTTTTTGGTCCGGATCGATCGTAGAACGTGATAACGTCTTATGATAAGTCATTCTATCGAAACTACTTGCTTATTACACGATTAAAATATTCCGTTCCTATATGAGATACGTCGTGGCGTAAAATTAAATTAAAATGAAAAATAATTTATTTAATGATAAATAATATTACTATTATCATTATAGTTACAGAATTTTTCGCAAATTTATATAACAATAGAGAGCCTAAGCCTCGCTTTTCTTGACAGAAAAATATCACTGCTTATCCAAATAGTACACATGTTCAAAATCAGGACATAATTTTTGATGTCTTATAAAAATATTATTATAAGATACGATGTCTATTAAAACATTTTATTTCCGATTTTGACAAATGTATAATTTGGATTATAATTTTTAAAATTGCAGTGAAAAACAATAATTTAATTTAATTTAAAAATAAGATACGCTAAAGGATTGCAACTATATATAAATGCAGCTAGGAAATAAAAATATGTGATTACAACTATAACACTATTACTACAATTTTCATGGAATAATATAGGGAATAATATAGGGAAGCCAGTAAAAAAGATACAAGCCTATTTAGCCAGAACTACAATAACGATATAGTTTTACTAGTGCCATCTAGCATAGATTCACCGAAAAGCGACAAGAATTCTAGAATAACCGATAATATAGTGCTTCCAATAATTCATTTATATCCATAGATTTATGATTATCTATTACCTCTTTTTGTAACCAAAGTAAACATTATACGCTAGTAAACATTATACGCTATTAGTATACTCAAAATATGAAACAAATGTATATTTGAAGTTTAGCGAATGCGAGAAAGAAAATTTTAATATAAGTCCAGTGGAATCAGTGCACAACAAAAAAGCACTTTTTTGCGACTGACTGTCGGCATACGACGTCACCCGGCATATTGCCCTAAAATTCTGCAGCTTTTCAGAGTTTTGTGATATTGAGATCTGAGGGAAAAAAAAAGAGAAAATATATTGATCATTCTCTCAAAATACGCTTGACATAAGGGTATAAAGGTTTGCAATCATGGTGATATCCAGTAAGTCTGTACATATATTATTACAATATATAGTCAGAATTAACATAAACATTTAACTACTTGTGTTATCGAAATATGTCTATGTCTGTTTAGAGTTTACAAATCAAAGCAAGGAAGAACGTATGGTAATAACAATCGGAGAGATAATACAGGAGTTATTAAAGGCACACAATGAAAATCGAAACATTGATCTAAATAAGTTAAAGACGCGAATTTCTTCAAAATATGGCTTGGATTCTTCCCCAAGATTGGTTGATATTATTGCAGCAGTGCCTAGTTATGCTAGAAATATACTTGTACCGAAATTGAAGGCTAAACCTATCAGGACTGCTAGTGGGGTTAGTTTAACTTGTATCCTAAGGTCTGTTCTTTATAACTGGACAAGTGTATCTTTATACTTAAAATAAAGTAGATTATTTAAAATTTGGCAAGCAAGATAGAAAAGCAAGATAGAAAGTTTTATTAAGTATAATCCAGTATTGCGACAAAGAACAGACTTATTGTATAACAATTTTTGTAAACGAAAAATAATAGAGCTATTGCAGATTGCTGTTGTAGCAGTAATGTGTAAACCACACAGATGTCCACATATTAATATGACAGGAAATATTTGTGTTTATTGTCCTGGTGGTCCAGATTCTGATTTCGAATATTCAACACAATCGTATACAGGATATGAACCTACATCGATGAGAGCTATACGTGCAAGATATAATCCTTTTTTACAAACTAGACATCGTGTTGAACAGGTAAAGCAAATATTTTTATTGTTTTCTCAGATAATTTCAATCTTTCAGTATTTGTAAACATACAATCATATATATAACTGTACATTATACTTTTAGTTAAAACAATTGGGTCATAATGTTGACAAGATTGAATTTATTGTTATGGGTGGTACTTTCATGTCTTTGCCAGATGACTATAGAGATTATTTTATACGAAGTTTACACGATGCGCTGTCAGGTCATGTAAGCAATAATGTTGACGAAGCAGTGAGCTATTCGGAACGTAGTACTACAAAATGTATCGGCATTACTATTGAGACTCGACCTGATTATTGTCTCAAGAAGCATCTTTCAGATATGTTACGTTATGGGTATCTGCTTTTTTTAATAGAATAGAATTTGAAATTATAATAAAATTTATGCAGTTATTTTATTTATTAAAAATTAAAATTTGATAGGTGCACACGTTTAGAAATTGGTGTACAATCAATATATGAAGATGTAGCGCGTGATACTAATAGAGGACATACAGTACATGCCGTATGTGAGAGTTTTCATCTAGCAAAAGATGCTGGATTCAAAGTGATAGCTCACATGATGCCAGATTTACCAAATGTCGATTTGGAACGAGATGTCGCCCAGTTTAAAGTAATGTTGTTGCTATACGTACAGAACAATGTTAACTTACTCAATTATTTCCTATTAATACTTATAGTTTTGTCAATTTTTAGGAATTCTTCAAAGATCCTGCGTTTCGAGCAGATGGATTAAAAATTTATCCAACATTGGTTATACGTGGCACCGGCTTGTATGAATTATGGAAAACTGGCAGATATAAAAGTTATGCTCCCAGTATATTAGTCGATCTTATAGCTCGTATTCTAGCTTTGATACCACCATGGACTCGCGTTTATCGCGTACAACGTGACATACCTATGCCATTAGTAACGTAATTATAATATTAAATTACACAAGCAAATAGACTTATAATAAATAATGCTACATATCATTCTTTTTATATAAAAAAATATATAGTTCTGGTGTAGAACATGGGAATCTACGTGAGTTAGCTCTAGAAAGAATGAAGGATATGGGCACGGACTGCCGTGATGTTAGAACGCGTGAAGTAGGGATTCAAGAAATACATCACAAAGTGCAACCCTATGAAGTAGAGCTTATCCGACGTGATTACGTAGCGAATGGCGGATGGGAAACATTTCTGTCATACGAAGATCCCTTACAAGATATTCTAATTGGCCTACTCAGATTAAGGAAATGTTCTACCAACACATTCAGGTATAACTTTTATATCGCATCTGTTACTTTTTTTTTCAGTAATACTTCACATCATTAAGTAATACTCATTTTCAATCGAATAGAATTAATATTAACAACATACTTCTTTACATAATTATCTTTTATTTTATTTTAAAATATGTTTTACTATTTAAGCAATATCTAAATATTTAATCACTAGCTACATTTAAAAATAATAATGTTGTTAATTAAATGCAATTATTTGCTATGTAATACAAAATATTCTATCTCTAAAAAACTCTTTAATATATTTCATTATTAATAAAATATATTTTTAAAATATATTTTGAAACATATTAATTTTAGTTCAGTTCAAGAGATATGACTTTCTATCTTGGAACTTGGAAGATGAATTTCTTTAGATATATAAATTTAACTTAAATATAAATATAAATTAAATAAGTTTCCAAAATGAGTTATTTGCATATAATATTGTCTATTTTTCTTTTAGGCCGGAATTAAAAGAAAAAACTTCTATAGTAAGAGAGCTTCATGTTTATGGCAGTGTAGTACCTGTTAATGCTCGCGATCCCACAAAGTTTCAACACCAAGGCTTTGGTATTCTATTAATGGAGGAAGCTGAACGAATCGCAAAAGAGGAACATCAATCACATAAAATTTCCGTAATTTCAGGTATATTATAAATAATGCTTTTACGTGCAAAAACTCTCTCACTCTCTTATTTTTATTATTAGATGACTACCATAAAAACTGATCAAAGATTTAAAAATTAATACTATTCTTGCAGGCGTTGGTACACGTAATTATTATAGAAAATTGGGTTACGAACTTGACGGTCCATACATGTCTAAAATGCTTATATAAATAACGAAAGTAAATTTTGAGAAAAAGAAATTAAAAAATTAGAAGATAATTGAGAAAATAACTTTTCAGATAATGAAAAAAAGATAGAGATATAGAATAAATATGTAAATATTACATATAAGTATTGTCGAAAATTGTAAATTAACGCCTTCAAAAAGCTAAATAAATTAACAAGAAAAAAAAGAAAATAAATAAAAGTGAAAAAAGAAAAAAATGTAAAAAAAATTAAAAATAAAGAATCCTATATTCTTTAATATAAAAACAGAATAAATATAAGTTTCAATATATAAAAGTATAGTTTCATTCATTATAATAAAATAAAATTTTACATATCTTCCGAATTAAAATTGATACAATATTTTAATTAATAATAAAATACATTAAAAAGAATGTATTCAGAAATACAATATTTTATATTGTATCTCTACTATATGATAAATAATTAAATTTAATTAACAAACATTAAATTTATTATTTTTAAAGATAGCTAGCAATTATAAAAATCTTAGACCATGCTATTGTTTTAATAAAAGATTATAAAAACATTATATTTGAAATATGTT